ACCCGATGGTTGAAGCCGGCCTGGATGCAAACGTGGCCTGGCGAGTCGCTATGGTGGTGCCGGCCGTCATGTTCATCATTTGTGCCATTTGCATGAAGCTCTTGTGTTGCTAAGTTGCATTGCCGGAAGCTGATCAGTTTTTTGTGGCATTGTGCTTGGATACCAAGGCTGGGACATGCCAATTGGGAAGCATTATGATCCGGCGATCACGGGCAAGACCCAGAAACCATCTATGTGGGATTATGTTGAGGTGGGGTAAAACCTTGTTCCGATGATTGTACAGTTCAAAAAAAGTTTCGTGCTGGAAGTTTCACGATGCACGAACAGTGCTTCAGGTGCTCAAAGACGTGAGGGTGATTGTCATGATCTTCCAGTACAGTGCTTGCTTTGGCACCTGTGCTGAAATAGGAGCTTTTCAAGTGATGCCGATCACGTTTGGTCATGGTAATGCTGTGAGCCGGACGGCTGAGGAACGGAGCTCGCCATGAAACTTGTTTGCAGCAGCTGCTGTCGTGGGGAGTTGGTCACACTGTGTCTCGTGCGCGCACTGACAACCAAGGAACAATCAATTGGCCACTCACTTCAGGACTTACTTCCAGATGGCAGCAGGAGATGCAGCGGCCCTGGCTGGATCGTTCGGACTCATGCAGCTGGGTGGACTTGTGGGTTGTGTTTTCTTTTTGCGCGGTGGTGTTGGTATGAGTGTGAGCCCCAGACTGGGCCGACCAAGGAATCTCTTTGCCCGATCCCTTGGAGGAATCAGCAGCGACCTGATGTTCAAGTTCTTTGCCTTCCGCGGACGCATTTGGGCCCAGTTCCTGGCGCTGTTCTTTGAAGCCATCTTCTTATTCGCATTCGGCAACGTTGACAACTCCCAGCCTTGGTATGTGGCTTTGGCCGTGCTGGTGTGCTTCTCCCTGTTCGTGCAGATGGCCGAGGGGACTTCGCTTCTTGGATGCTTCAAGTGATACGAGTTTAGCTGAAGTCCTGTTTGCAGTCAGCAAAGCACACTGCCAGGTATGGCATTGTGCCGTTCATGAATCGTAAGCAGCTCGCAGTCGTCTCTGCACTGGTGGGAGCTGGCGGCAATCTGGGCGCTGTGATTGCTGGCTTCTGCTTCTACAAGCCCATTACCGATGCTTTGCTGCCGTTTCAGGCAGGGGGGAAAGCGAAATCTCACGTGTTCAAGCCCTGCTATTGGGCTCTGGTGCTTTCAGCACTGGAGCCTTGGTTGCTGCTGTCAGCAAATCAAGGGCCGCAGCAGGTACAATGTTTTCTTCTTACCGATGCTTTGCTGCCGTTTCAGGTGCACGCTGGCTACGTGATGTTTTGGGCTTTGCTGAGCCCCTGCTACTACTGGTCCGAGTACGGAGGGATGTTTGTGGGGCCTGCAGATGGTGCAAAGGGCAAGGAGGGCAAGGGTCAAATCAGCGACTCGGAGATGTCCACGGAAGCCCCAAGCGAGGTGCAGAGGTGCTAAGCCATGACACATATGACAGCTCTTGATTTGCGTGTTGGGAGACTGGCCTATGCATGGAGTGCAGGGTCAGCTCCGGGTTTTGAGAGATCTGGCGTGCTGAGCAAGAGACTCATCAAAGCCACTGTAAGAGTGTGGTTGTTGCGGCAATTACATACAATTCTCGAATTCAAGCAAGATCCCAGCATCGAGTGCGGGACTAAGAGCTGAAGCTCACAAGATGTTTCAGCACGTTACCTGTTCCAGTAGATTTTCACATCATGGCAGAACCATTTGCACGGCCTTTGCAGGCAAATCAAATGGCTCAAATATATTGCCAGCAGCCGCAAACGTCACTTGTGAAACACTTCTGCGAGCAAGTCGCAAGTCGCTTGCCTTGCAGGACGGTGCTTGCTTCAAAGACAATGCCTTCGATGAGGATGAGGTCTTCATGCGGGGCTCGAGTGCTAGAAGGGTAGAAGAACTGCAGTGGAGTGTCCCAGCACTGGTGTCAAATCTCGTAGCAGCATGCGCGTCAGCAATCGACATCTTGGAATAGCTTAGAGTGGCGTGTGGAGGTCAAGCAGAGTGCCAAGCCGGAGAACGAAAGTGCCAAGCAAGGAGGCGTGATTCTAACAGCTGCGGGCCACCCAAGATCTTGCACTTTCGGTGGACAGGTGCACCGACGGTGGGAAGTCTGTTTGACCTCACACCAAGCCCTCCCTCGTTTGGAGGCATGAGGGGCAAGTTAGACTCTACCAGGCTAAATCCAAAATAGCACAGGTAGCAGCCTCTTCGCGAGTGCGCCAAGCTCCGGCTCTGCCGCAACAGGTCGGAAGTTTTTCGAGCTTGAGCGCATTTGAGCGCCGGTGAGAGGATTCTTTGAGGGCACAGGGATATAGCTCTCAATACGGCTTCAGTTTGCGCTGCAGGCGAACCAGCCGATGAAACTTTGCTGACTAGCTCACGTCACTGACTTGTTGAGTGTTGGCGCTGCAATGTTTTCGGCAGTATATGTAAGCGAGTTTGCGGGGTGGAGGCGGTTGGCTTAATTTCTTGAATTGAACTGTCGGATGTGGAGGTCTCTTTGGTGCTGCAGAGCCAGCTACATCTGGCGGCTTGCTGGCAAAACCAGCTGCAAGCATTTTCGATGTAGTTCCGAGCAGCAGCAGCAGCAGTGGCTCTGCGAACAACATTTTCGGAGCTTCTGGCGGTACCAGCAGCGGCAGCAGTGGCGGCACTAGTGGCAGTGCAGCAGCAGCGCTTCCCAGCTCTGGTGGGATTTTCATGTTTGGCGCTCCCAATACGGGTGGCACCGGATTAAACTCCACTGTGGAGGGGAGCGGGGGCGAGGTGCCCCAAGCTTCCAGTGGCAGCGCAAGTATCTTTGGATCAGGTGCTGCCAATTCAAACAGCATCTTTCAGTTTGGTGCAGATGGCAGCAGCAGTGCTGGTGGCGGCAGCAGCTCCGGCAGCATCTTCGGGGCTGCCAACAGCGGAGGCAAGAAGTTCACAAAGAAGTAATTATTGCTTAGTTGATGCAGGGGGTAGTTTTGCTGACTGCAGAGGTGCGAGCATTTTTGGCGCTGCAGCAGCATCTGGCAGCATTTTTGCAGCTGAATCGAAAGCATCGCAGAGCTCCCAAAATTTGAGTTCCAGCATCTTTGGAGCAACGACTGCCTCAGCTGGAGGAATCTTTGGCGCTGCAAGTTCAGGCGGCGGTAGCATCTTTGGTGCTCCCGAGCCTGCAAGTGCTGCAAGCTCTGGCGGCATCTTTGGCAATCCTCCAGCGAGCAGCCCAAGTTCTGGGGGCATCTTTGGAGGTTCGCAGCCGACTGCGCCTGCCAGTAACATCTTCGGTGCAGGTTCTCCGGCCGGTGAGGCCACCCCGTCCAACATTTTTGGAGCCCCCCAGTCATCCGGCAGCCAGAGCTCCGGGAGCATATTTGGAGCAGCTCAACCAGCATCCACACCTGCTTCGGGCAGTATCTTTGGCTCCACCCCGCCAGCAACTAGTCAAAATTCCACGGGCAGTGGCTTGTTTGGTGCAACGCCGCCAAGTGCCCCCAGCTCCAGCAACATCTTTGGAGCAGTCCAGGCAAGTTCCGGTGGCATCTTCGGTGCAGCGCCACCGGCAAGCAGCCCAAGCTCCAGCAGCATCTTTGGACAAGCGCAGCCTGGAAATGGCCAGAGCGGAAGCATCTTTGGAGCCCCAGGGTCCTCAAGTTCTGGAGGCATCTTCGGAACTCCAAGTAGCGCAAGCAGCGGAGGCATTTTCGGAGCTCCCAATTCTGGAGGAGGCATCTTTGGCTCTCCTCCAGCGAGCTCTTCAGGTCTCTTTGGATCCAGTACCAGCATGGAGGCCAGCAATTCTCAAGGAGGCATCTTTGGAGCGACCGGGCTTTTCAACGGAAGCCCAAGCCCCAGCCCTGCGAGCTCTGGCTCTGGGTGCCGTGGCCATGCTTGGCATAAGTTGTTTAACCGAATTTGCAGAGCTTCATCTAAACGGAACAACTCCTGCGGTTTTTTTCCTTGTATTGCTTGCAAAGTCGCAGGAACATCTTCGGCCAGACGCCAGCTGGGAGCAACATTTTCGGAGGAAACTCTGCCGGAGCCTTTGGGACGACTGGAGGACAGGGCGAGTTCCAAACTTATCTGTGGTGCTTCATCTCCTTTTCGAAGTCTGTCGCCAGCTGTGAAGCCCCCCACGTTGGTCAATGGACTTGCAAGGGAACCTCAAGTTCTGCTGAAGTCAATCAGCTGCACGCATAGATGCTACCGGAAGGGATGGATGAAGTTGCTATTCCAGCAGGATCAGCGCATAAGCTGCAACGGTAACTGGGACTGACTGACAGTCTGTGTTGCTTGCTTGGAGGCGGCGGTGGTGGTGCTGGAATCTTTGGCGCCCCTCCTGGGTCAGGCAAGGAGGGCAGCTTTCTGATTTGCATGCCTTACCAGAATGAATGCTGAGATTTGTTCCTGGCTTCGTTGAGCCGCTCGGGTTTCTCCCTTTACTTCAAGCTTTTTGTGCTCTTGATTTGGTCATGATGCATGCCTAACTTCATGGGAATCTCTGCAAAAGCGTCGGTATCTGTGACGGCGCCATAGTGAGGTGGCAGCAATATCTTCGGAGCTCCTGCAGGCAGAGAGTACGGTTAGAAGGGTGGGTGCGTTTTATTATTAGGCGTGCTGCCTCCGCTTCAATGCCTTTGTCAAAATGAGGTGGTGCCGGAGGGGGCCTGTTCCAATTTGGGGCGCCGTCCCCGCAGAGTACGCCTCCAGCACCATGCGGAGGCAGGTAGATGTGCTGTAGTTTGCGGGGGAAGTACATACCATAGCTGCCGCGATGCGTTCCTGCAGACTTAAGTGGCTTCAGCTGGAGTAAAACATGAGGCGCTCCTGTCTTTGGAGCGCAGCCCAGCACTGGTCAGAGTGGCGGCCTAAGTACAGTTCCAGCAGGGATGCTGCGAGCTGAAGTAACAGGCTACCAGCACAAGCAACCACATGTTGGAGCAGAAAAACCCATCTTCAGTTGCAAGCAGGCGGCAACCCGTTCATGTTCGGCCAGGGCCCACCGCAGTCACAAGGCACTTAGGGGAATTGAGTGGCTGTGTCCTTCAGAGGTTGAATTCGCTCGATGAAGCAGCGTCTTGCAGCATGCTCCAACATGTTCGGGGTTGGCAAGCAGATGCGACGCAAAGATGAGGTGCAAATCCTGGATTCGGTGGCTCTCCATTTGGAGGCCTGGTATCTTGGGGCCGAGAATCATGGTACTTGTTGCAGAATGGCGTATCCAGGGAGGTCGTGACGTTACCGGAGCGTTCCAGATCTTTGCCACACAAGCGAATCCAACACTCTAGGACGTTGAGAGGCGTTGAGAAGCAGATCGCCATGTCAACAGCGAGCACGGGATTCTCGTGTTTTCTTAGGTGAATGATGATTCCAAGCAGCTGAACTTTGGTGCTTCTAGCTGCTGTTGAAGGGAGGAGCATGGGCATTTCTGCAGCATCATTCAACAGGCAATTCAAAACATGGTTGGCAACACATTGAGCGCCTGAAGAAAGCAACTCTTGGCAAGGTGCGCCGCAGTCCTTCGCACCTGCGGCTCCGGGTGGAGGCTTGGGGGAAACTGCCCAAGAAATCGGTACTGACATGTCGCTGACTCGCTGACCCTGAACTCCGAGATGCTCCCAGGTTTCGGGCAGCCCGCGCCAGTGTGGCCCCAAAAGCTCTTCACACGTCGCATTCGAGTAGACTTCTGACTTGCCTTTGTTTTGCCCTGGGAATTGCGGCCTTTGAGTCTTGGTGGAGCGGTGCTGCCAAAATACGGTCCTATAGAATTGGGCACCCCTTTTTTTCAACCTTGCAATCTTTTTTTTCACCTTGTTTCTTTTTTTCAACCTTGGCCCTCTGATTTGCAACCCCGCCCTTGGCTACGCCCCTGATCTTTTTTGGTTCACCCTGCATCTATCTTAATTGTCGCCTCCTCAACTCTCAACCCCAGGTTGTGTCTCATTTGCAACCTTGGCTGCCGGTTTCTCATCCCTGCCATCTTCTGTTTCACCTTGTCTCTTCTCGCCTATGCTGAGAGGTCTCATTTCTGACCTCACATATCTTTTTCTCAACCTTGTTATTCTGAAGCCCCACCTTGGACATTTTGCAACCACGCCTGGCCTTGGAATCGCTGTATAACCTCAATATCTTGTGTTTACCGCCCCCCCCCGGCCACCTGTCCCCACACTCCCGCCCCACAAATCTCTTTTATCTCACGTTCCCAAAACTGGACTCCAGGCCGTGGTCTTGTTTCTAACCTTGGGGGTATCTGCTCCTTAACCTTGCGTATGTCTGATTTTTAACCTGGCAGCAGGCTCCTCCTGAAAGGGGATTCTTTTTTTCCATCCTGAAAACCTGTTTTTTCACCTTGTGTGCCTCTGATGGACGAGCACTTCATGAGGAGGTCCGGTTAGGGTTTGTATAAAGACCAAAGGTCCAAGCGCTCAAAAAGAGGTTGCTTAGGATGCAAG